ACAAATTATATCGAATCTGTATCAAAACCAGAAAGCAAGAGTAAGAGTCGAAGGAGAACTGACAGAGGAAGTAAGTATACTTAGAGGAGTTCGACAAGGGTGTATCCTTTCACCACTCTTATTCAACGTCTACAGTGAAGTTATTTTTCAAGAGGCTTTATTGGCTATCGTGGAAGGTATTTATGTCAACGGAAATAGCATTAATAATATTAGATATGCCGACGATACTGTCATATTTGCAAGTGACATGGAAGATCTACAGTACATAATACAACATGTATACAATGCATGTGAAAGTTACGGACTGCAAATGAATCTCAAGAAAATGAAATCAATGATATTCTCAAAAAAACCACAAAATGTAAATAACCTGATCATCAATAATACAACGATAGAAAGAGTAAAAACATATAAATATTTAGGAACGTGGCTAACCGAAGATGGAGATCAATTAAAGTAGATCAGATCTAGAATAGAAATGGCAAGAAACACGTTCATAAAATTGAAGAAATTACTTTGCAACCGTAACCTTAATCTAGAGATTCGCACAAGAATGCTACGTTGTTACGTCTTCTCTACTTTACTATATGGCATGGAAGTGTGGACAATAAAGCAGTCTGAAATCAAAAAATTAAACTCCTTTGAGATGTGGTGCTACAGGAGAATGCATAAAATATCGTGGATTGAAAAAGTAACTAATATAGAGGTGTTACAAAGAATGAAGAAAGAATGTGAAGTCATAAAAACTGTTAAAATTAGAAAGATTCAATATCTGGGACATTTAATGAGGGGTGAGAAGTACGTATTACTGAGGTTGATTATGCAAGGGAAGATACAAGGGAAGAAAAACCCAGGACGACGCAAAATGTCCTGGCTAAGAAATTTGAGAGAGTGGTTCGGCTGCAGCTCATTAGAATTATTCAGAAATGCGGCCAACAAAGTTAAAATAGAGATGATGATTTCCAACCTCCGCTAGGAGAAGGAACCCGAAGAAGAAGAAGATAGTACTTATTTTTAATACGTCAGAAATTCTACCCGTAGTAAAAGATGTATTAATTAAATTTAACATAACGTGCCCAATGGTTTCAAAAACTTTCTTTACCATTCTGCAATTTAACGTTTCATGTAGTGAGAATTTATGATGGATTAATATTTCATTCAGTGTAAGATACCAAAACGAAAATTTCGAGTTATTCTAATTAAACATGTTCAAAAAGCGGTGAGATTTATCAATTCGTTGTACTTTTTGCTCTGGTATAAGAAAACGTGGTACCTATTTGGAAAACAGCTTTCTTATACCCAATTGTTTATGTACAATAGTTTAAATGCTATCCTCTGATACCTTTCTGCTGATTTAGTGTATCAACTATCTCTTGCAGCTTCACTTTGCGATTTTCTATATTTTTTTCAGCCTGTTTTCGATATTTTCGGGAACACCTGCTTCATTTGGACTTCCGGAGCGCTCAGTGTCGGTACGACCGCTTTTGAATTCAAGAAACCATCGTTTAATGGTTGTAATCCATGGAGCAGAGCACTGGTAATACTTTTTGAGCGATTGCTCAGTTTGTACAGTATTTTGTCCCATTAAATAGTGATGAATCGGCTTACGAAATTGCTTTGAATCCATTGTTTATAAAAACCACAAAAGTAGAGTCACTTCAAGCACTGCAACATGGTAAATAATAATCTAAATAACATGAAATTTTGACAGTACGCTTTCGAAGATAGAGACTACCAAAATGTTAAATAGATAATTCATTATAGTATCCATCTTATGGTTGAGCTCGGAACTTATTGACCTACTATATTATGCTTTATTTCTGTGACGTTGATTCGCTAGTGTTACTTAGATCGTGAAAAAGTGTGAAATGTTGAGATATTATGTGCGTCACTCAATAGACGTAAGAGATTTTTGTGGGATTGCAACTCTAAAAACTTGTACTTTTATCTGCTCTCAAGTTGAAAATTCTGGTTCTGAAAATTCTGGAAACTCTGTTTTGTTTTCCATTTACTCAAGCATGTATCAAAAGTTAGAGAGAGTTCAAAGATATTCTGAAATACTGCTCTTTTAAACTGCGTAGACTATATTCTTATTCTGGTATGATCAACTTCTTGAATCTAGATTTTTTCTTACCAGAAGACTTAACTTTGACTTTGATCATTATTTTTAAACTTAATAATCCAATCTCTTGAATTGCTTCAGCCAATTTGTTTTAGATATTCCTTCTCGTTCACTGCTTTAGAATTCATTTTTTCATGTTTCCCATCACAGAATATATTTTGGTTCAAATATAGGTGTGGTCCTACTTCTCATGCTTGCTAATCAGTTACCTCGTTAGATAGATTTGTTTAACTTATGTATTAAGATCTTTAGGTTCTATTTCAGGCACTAAAATGCAAAATGATACTTTGTATAAATAAGTGTGTACTTGCAATTTATTTAATGCTGGATTCTTGTTTAATTTTGACAGTGAGTTTGTCCCATTTGTTATCAATAAATAAAATTTACTAAAAAATACTGGATTTCTGTGAGATAATCAACAAATTCAATCATATTCATTCAAATTCAAATTTTGTAGTTTTTTGTGATGATCTACAACCAGGAAGAATAAAACAAACTGTATCAATACAGCATAAAAGTACGAATACCAAAAGCAAAGTCTACATGCTATGAAAATAATGGGAATAACTAAAACACAACACAAATTTACTAAAGTTTTTTTTATTATGAATAAAAACAAAATGAAAATGCTTCCCAACAAGTACCACACTAAACTTAAAAGATTGTTGTCGTTTTTTTTTATAATTAGATATAAATAACATACGTTTATAAAAATTTATAAATCTTTTAAACTATATTTAGTGAAAATGTTATCTAGAAAAATATTACATTAAACACTATTCGCAAATCATCAAGTCTAAGTTATTACAAACAACTTAAAGAGTCAGAAATCAATATAGATATTAGAGGAAAATAATATTCAGTGTCTGAAGACATATATTGTCTTCCAATATATGTCTTCAAATAGTCTTTCCATTTATGACTTGGTGAGGTTCATGAACAACTACACCATTTTGAATTTCTTCATTTAGTTTTTCGGCAAAAACTGAATCTATAGCAAGAAAGTTTTGTTTTTAGTCAGCAGTCCAATGTATAAGCCATTCTTTGAATAATTTCACCTAAAAAATTACTATGGCAAGACATTCATAACAGATAATAAATCAATCATTCTGTAAACAGTAAGATAAACAATCTATAGTAATGCTATGCAATATTTACTGCAATGAAACTGCTTATACCTATGTAAAGTAAAAATTCCTTTTTTTCCTTTCCATGTTCTGATATCTGTTGGACCAAAATACTTTACAACATTCGAGTAGAGTATACAATTAAAAACTTAAAATGAAAAAGACAGCAAATATTTGATTTCACGCAAACAGCGCCTATGTACATATTTGTCAATCAAATTTGTCAATTGAAATCAAATATTTGCTGTCTTTTTCATTTTTTTTTTGATTTGCTCTGTACGAGTACAAGAAACACAATTCGCTAAGGATTTCTGCTTAGTTGTAAAGACATGTCGTGGAATGCAAATTTTAGATTCTCCATGTCCCTTTTAACATCTTTTATCAACGTCTGTTTGCCTTGCAATTTTTAGGAGGCTCAGATTATAAGCAGAAATCTGAATTGTGTTTCGAAACTATTTTACGGATTTTAAAAACTTAAAATTTATTTTTTTTAATAACTTACTTTATGAGATCATTACTTAGTATACTCATCATCAAACAATATCTTTAAATGAGAACAGTGAAATGTAAGTACATAATACTTAAAATGAAAATATTAGTACACAGGTATGTTTCCAAAAACATGTCACACAAAGACCTTTGTATTTATGTCTATAAACAGGAAAAATATTTTAATCAAACAACAATGGTACCATTACAATCATTTTTCATGTAGCTCATAAATTTTAATTACAAAAACTATTTCGTAGTAACAATAATATACCCGATTATAAAAATGAAACCTCTAAAATATTTTAAGTAATTTTACTATATAATTGCTGCTAACCCATATTTATTTACTTAAAATTGATTTACTTCAAGAATTTATATAATAATGAACGACACACAGTTGACACATGAAGTAAACATTTCTGTAATGGATTTTCCAGCATTGAATCTAGACGCAAACCCAATCGAACATCTTTGGGATATGCTTAGGCAAAGGATACGAACTCGGGTTCCTGCTTACCTTACCTACCTGCTAACCTTAAATCAGTTACAAGAAGCCCTTTTAAAGAAATGGAAACTTATTCCTCAACAGGAAATTTCTTATTTGATTTTAGACATGAAAAGGAGAATATAGGCAATAATTCGAGCACATGGAGGAAACACTCATTATTATAATTAATTTGTCCAGACACAACATTTATCAAGGTTTTTCTCCTTAATTTTTAAATTGTTATCTACTGAAACAGTTCCTTGTTCAAAAGTTAAATTTTTATTAGAAATTACTAAAAAACAGTTTTCTTCGTTTGTGTTTACGTTATTTAAATAATAAAAGTTTAAAAATAATTAAAATTTTAAGTGTTTATTTTAAAAATGCAAGTGCTCCGTTTTTCGTGCTGGTGAGTGTAGAAAAAAAATTTTAGACAATTTAATTTCTAACAAATAATGATTAAAATAAAATTGCGTCCTCTTAAAATTGCAACCTTAATGTAATTTTTCAATAGACTAGATAGCGCACAAATAAGGTACAAAATGCTATGTTAATTGCCAACATCTGCAATGGATAAGGCACGAGAAGAAGAAGAAAATATTTTCTGAAATATTCTAAAACTTATCAGCAAATTGGAAATAATTTTAACACTCAAGTACTATCCGAATATACAATTATCTACAATACTTAATTCAGTTCAATATTATTCAAAAGATAAACATTATTTGATATATAGATAACATAAAAAGCGAACGTTTTCTTAAGACGAGTTTGCATTCCTACAGTGGCTATTAACTTTGTTAAGTAATTAACCTCTTTATCAGCGTAATTAAAAGTGCAGATAGTTAATTTATTAATTCATTTTTAATTTTAAATCTACTTAATTACCGCGTACTCAGCTTTTATTCATTTCTTTCAAACATCATTATGGCTCCTGTAGTGGAAAAAGTTCTATCAGGATTTCTTTTAAGTGAAGGTCCACATTGGGACGATAAAAAACAGTGTTTATATTTTGTGGATATATTAAAAAGTACTATCAATAGATACGTACCCAGTACTAAAGAACATACTTGGGCAAAACTTGGTAAGTTTCAAATTTTAACAGAAAATATTTGATATTAATTAAGAATTCTAGAAGGTTTTAATTTTAATTAGGAGACGTCAAATTGATTCGAACGAGTACATATCGCTCTGTGAAACAGTGTAAAAATTTGCCGTTTATCACAGTAAATACCAGTTTTTAAAAGTATATTACCATCAGAAAGTGATTAGTGATTGTTGTGTAGAGTTTTTAACGTGAAAAGCTGTAATATTATTCAGTAAGAAATTTATTATTAATACTTTTCTAACCAACACATTCAGCTGTGTTGACATTTTTTTTGCCATATTCGACATAGTCAGTCCTATCAAGGACGGGCTCGTCGAAATTTTAGACAGGCAACCAGTAATACAGACATGCATTACATTTGCTGCCTATCACTTGAAACTTTAATGCAATAAAATCATAAATAGTTACTTTTGACTACATGAGTAACAACTTAAATCAATGTTCTCCTACAGTTAGCAACACCATGTCTAGAAACGACATCATCAGTAATAATCCAAACTCATATGCAACTGCTACGATGTCAAAACCCAAACCGAAATATCCAAAAAAAGATCAAGCAATATTAATACATGCTGAACCAAACGTAGTACTACTCGACTACATCAAAGCCATAGGTAACATTGTTAGCCCCAAAAACATATGTTTCGCCTCAAGAATTTCCAATAATCGGATATGCATCTACTTAACAAACTCTGAACTCGTCGAACATATTTTAACAGAAAATCCTACGATTACAATCAACTATGTAGAACTACCCGTAAGAAGACTGGTATCCCCAGCCAAGAGACTAATAATTTCTAACGTCTGTCCATCAATACCTCATGAAATTATAGAAAAACACCTTCAAGATCTAGGTCTTCAACTTGCTTCACCAGTGTCACACATCAAAGCTGGAATCCCCGGTAATGAATTCACGCATATTATGAGCTTCAGAAGACAGGTATACGTTACCCCAACTACAGATAGCCTTGAAATCGAAACATCATTAATAATTCCATTCGACAATAATTCATACAGAATATTTCTCTCTACTGAAAAAATGGCATGTTTTCTATGCAAAAAACATGGACATACAGCAAATAACTGTCAAAATCTCCCTAGCAATCCTCTCCCTAATGAACAAACGTCCCCAGCTGAACCCATCCCTGCTACCTCAATATCAAACAATATGGTACCGCCAAACACAACACAAAATTCGGTTCTCAGTCAACAGATAAAAACTGTCGTGATATCCACCACTTCTATTGCTGCAAACAATGAATTTCTTTCTCTTACCACTGGTCAGAAACGAACTCGTTCTGACTAGCGATTCTACTTCCCAAGAAACATACACATCTACTAACTTACCCATCAAAGACATAAAAATGCCTTCACCCGATGCAAGCGTGCCCATAAAGCATAAAACTAAAAAACCCAAGAAAGTCACACCCGATCAGTCTAAATTAACCGCCTCCTCTGTTCTCACAATTAATAATCTTTATCAAGAAAATCCAAACTTATTCTCCTTACCGGTTGAAAATTTTCTTGCCTTTCTGGACAACTCATTCGGCAGTAATAACCCTCTACAAGAAGCACAGCAGTTCACTCAAAATGTTCCATCATTACTAGACGACATGTTTAGAATATACCCTTCACTGGAAGATAGAACAATTAAGAATAGATTCACAAGGATTTCTAAGAAAATTAAACAGCAACTTAATTTCGACAATTCAGAAATTGAAAGCACAACATCGCAATCTACAAATAATGATGAAGATTATCTCACCGACTCTTCTCTGACCTCTCAACGTTCTCAATCAATGTTAAAAATATTTTACTTTCACGTTAGTGCAGTGGAACTGCGATGGGTTCTACCCTCGCTTAGAACGCTTACAACAATTAATCAATAATACAAAAGCAGATATTATCTGCCTTCAAGAAATCAATTTCAAGGAAACACATAGATGTGAACTTAAAAACTTTGAAGGTTACCATTTCCTTCGGCCTACGTTTACAAGAGCAAGTGGGGGAACATCTATCTTCGTGTCTAATGATTTATTCTCTATGCAATATATCCTAACCACCAATTTGGAGGCCATAGCAATAACTGTCTGGTATCCCGACCAAATAACCATATGCAGTACATATATTCCACCTAATTATAACTTAACAGAAACCGAGTTAGATAACTTAATTCGCCAACTTCCCAGTCCTTTTATACTAGTTGGAGACTTTAACGCCCAGAATATCATGTGGGGCTCAAAGAAAACATTTGGTAGAGGAAAAACCGTAGAGACCGTATTGAGTTGCAATAATACATGTCTGATGAATAGTGGAGCCAGTACATATTTTAACATCGCCTCACGAACTTATTCTTCTATCGATCTAAGCATATGTGATCCCAAGTCTGCCGATTCACTCTCATGGTATACTTTAGATAGCTTATATGATAGTAACCACTTTCCGATAGTCATAACAAGTAGCAATAAAAATTTTTGCACCATTACTAAATGGAATATCGCTAAAGCGGACTGGAATAATTTTCAAACTAGCGCCGAAGATCATATTTTATTACTTCAACAATCTGAAGATATAGACGAGGCAATAACTCTCTTTAATAACTGCATTATTATGTCTGCAGAAAATCATGTAAAAAAAATAACAATATGCCCCTCTAAAAAAGCAGTACCATGGTGGAATTCAGAATGTGAACTAAGTGTATGGCAATGCAAAACTGCCCTCACCAGATATCGAAAAAGAAGAACTCAAGAAAACCTAATATATTTTAAAAAGCTAAGAGCCAAAGCGAAATATGTCCTTAAAAAAAGCAAAAAAGATTCCTGGCAAAATTTTGTCTCTACAATTACTAGTGATACCCCACCATCTCAAGTTTGGATAAAAATAAGACAAATAAAACACCTCCAAAAATTCCAGCAATATCATTGAATGTAAAAGTTATAACAGATAACCAGATAATTGCTCAAATCATGGCTGAAAGTTTTGCATGGAAATTTGGGTATGATGTCGAACAGATTAAAAGTCCAAATGACCAGAATATACAAATTTCTCTTAATCAACAAATTAGTAGTCACGACATTGATGCTATTAACCTTCCTTTTACACAAGAAGAATTAGCACTTGCACTATCCTCTTGTAGGAACTCCGCCGCTAGACCAGACAATATCCCAATTATATTCATCAAAAATTTATCTTATTCCAGTCTCGCAACACTGCTGAATCTTTATAACTAGATATGGCATACTCAGCAATTGCCCAAACTGTGGCGTGAATCAATTATCATACCAATAAAAAAATCTGATCTACCCTCAAACCTAACAAAATCCTACAGACCTATCTCTCTAACCTGTTCATTATGTAAACTGTTTGAGAAAATGATTAATTCAAGATTAACACGGCTTCTCTAAAAATATGCAATAATTGACTCATCGCAATCCGGTTTCAGACGTCACCGTTCAACCCTAGACAATTTAGTGCTATTACAAACACAAATAGCTTCCGCTATTTCAAACAAACAGGATTTGATCGCTACTGTCTTTGATATTGAAGGAGCTTTCGATACTATCTCGCGTCAAGCCATTCTTGAAAAGCTTCGTCAATACAAGATAACAGGAAATATTTACTCCTTCATAAAAAAACTTTTTACAACAAAGAACGTTGAAAGTGAAAACAAATGGAGACATTTCGGGGACATTCAGGCAAAATAATGGAGTTCCACAAGGTTCTGTACTTAGTACAACACTGTTTATTCTTGCAATAAATGATATTTGTTCCAGTATTTGTCCACCAGTCAAGCACTTAATATATGCAGATGGCCTTATTTTATATTGTCATGGAAAAAGTACAATCGCCACCTGCAACGTACTCCAAACCGCTGTAAATCAACTTAGCGAATGGTCCAAAAAAACCGGATTAGCTCTTTCAACGACTAAATCAAAATTAATACGGTTTAGCAGAAAACCCGGCAGCCAAAGTTCAATTATCACCCTTAATGAAACTTCATTGCAACTAGTCACCCATCAAAAAATACTTGGTTTAACGTTTGACAGTAGGCTAACTTGGAAACAGCATATTAGTGTATTAAAGGGCAATGCAATGAAGAGACTCAATATCATCAAGGCACTATCAAAGTACACATGGGGTGCGGACGAAACCATCTTACTTAATATATATAGAGATTAATCCGCTCAAAACTGGACTACGGCAGCATCATATACATGTCTGCATCAAAATCTGACTTAAAGCTACTAAACTCTGTGCATAACACTTTTATTCGTCTTTGCTTATGTGCTTTCAAATCTAGTCCCATAGATAGCCTTTACTGCGAGGCTAATGAACCACCTCTCTGGATACGACGAGAGTATCTTCTTCAATCCTACTTTGCTTCCGTATCCGCAAACCCATCCAATCCAGTCTACCATTTAATTACTTCAACATCGCCTCCGGAGACCTTGCAAAGGATCAAATCAATAATAGATATCCAGAAATTAACTCTAAGAAACACCATCGACCTTACTAAGACAGATCCCTTCCCAATCCCAGATACTCCGCCTTGGAATACACCAATCCCACATTCAATCACTTCCCTATTAGAATACAGTAAACATGAAACCTCAAGTCTTCTCATAAGCTAACACTTCAAAGAAATCATAAACAGGAACAAATTCCAAACAATTTTGTATACAGATGCCTCCAAAAGCGAAGCAGGCGTTGGATGTGCCGTTCCCACACATAATGAAGTAATCAAATCATCTTTTTTACCAAGTATATGCAGCGTATATACTGGAGAACTTTATGCGATACTAGAGGCTTTTAAAAAACTAAAAACAGATCATAAAAACCAAGCAATATGCACAGACTCCCAGTCGTCACTACAATCGATTAAAAGCCTATACTCTCAGCATCCCTTAGTGCAAGAAATCCATAGGATACACAGTGCTCTCGCTTTTCAAGGTGTAGATGTCACGATCATCTGGCTA